GAGCTTCCTTCAAACTCCCATCTTACGACACTAACAATACTACCATTCGATTCTCCGCTCCCTTTTCTTTCCACGCACCTCCTTTCAAAAAAAAAAAAACTAAACCTCCTCATCGCTATCTTCCCCGAGCAACTCCCCCTCATCCTCATCCACAACCGCATAATCTCCTCTGCCTCTCGCAAAACTGTCTCTAGTCGTGAATCTCCTATTCGGCACATTTCTCCCCAAAGCCCCCGAAGCTGAGCGCCATAGTGACGATGCAAGGAGTGGGATTGCTTGGGCGATTGCTACTGCTGCTGCTACGGCCATGACTGGGTATTTAATGTATGGAGCTTCGTCATTGAATGATGCTGTGAGGTGTGTTAGTAGGAAATTCTCGGGCAAGATTGGGAAAGAGGGATGAGAAAAGTAAGGGGAGGAGGGAGAGATAAAAACATACCTTGTTCACCCAACCTAATCTGACCGAATTTGCCAGTCCAGTTTCTCCAAACCCAAGTACCAACCGCAGCCGCAATACCAATAGGAATCATAACCGCAAAGAAGATGGCCCAACCTGAAGCTGCATGTTTCCTATTGAATTCATCTTCATGACCCGCGCAAGAATGTGCTTCATCACTAATATCCATTTCTCTACCACCTTGGCATGTTGTGAGGGGAAGACGACGGTATCCTGTAGGTTTAAAGTATTCCACGACGTTTTCATCGATGCGACAGATTTCGGAATGGTCTGGTGGTGAGTAACCTTTAACGAGGACACATGATCCATCGCCTTGGCGCTCGTAGTTAAGATCACTGATTTTGTGTTAGTTTTTGTAAATTTAATATCAGAAAATAGAACTTACCACTCGAAATCTCGCCTAGTACAACTGCAATTCCTGGCGATATTATGAAGCGAAGGAATCAACCTTCCATTATAACATTCGGCATCAGTTCTCTTTCGATGGTATTGCGAGACATGTCCAAAGAGACAGTCATCATTTTGCAGAGGATGTTTTGGTTGCCAAAGATAATAATCTCCACCTTCAACGTCCTTCTCATCAAGATCACACTGTCTATCTCTCAAACCTGAGAAATCAAGATTGATAGCTGTGAGGGCACCATCGACCGTACCCCAAAGGAGAAAATTTCGAGCGTTGTCACTTGGAACCGTAGTGAGATCCTCAACCTTCATTTCCGCATCGGAGAATTTGTATGGAATCCAAGTATCTCCCTCATCTAGAGAATAGTGAACTTCATTAACCGATGCGCGTTCTTTCACGATGACGATGATTGAGCCTTGATCTCCAAACCTCCACATGTAAGGTCCCTTTTTGACCCACTTCCAGTTTATGCCAGCATCCGTGGAAATGAAGGTGTCGGCATCTTTGTAATCTGTGAGGAATTCGCCAACATTTCCAACGCCCATCATCAAACCAATTGCCGATTGAGAAGAGAATGTATGGCTTTTATCAACTCTCTCGGTATAACTATGAAGATTCAATGAGCACTTTTCCTCCGAACCACTGCATCCCCACTTCTTTCCATCTGGACCTTGTGCAGGAGCTCTTATTGGAGCCCATTCTGCACCATCATTGTGGGTGATCATGGTCTTGAGCTTCTTATTCTCCTTCTTGTAGTTCTTCGATTCTGCATTTGCAACAACGTTGACCATGGCAACTCCTTCGATTCCGAACATCTTCTCGAAGTCCACATAACCAGCGCTGTCTCTATCCACAGCATTCAAACTTAGAACATATGAAGTACCGTTAGAATTACTCTTAATGATGGTTCCAAATTCCTTGCCCTTCTCATTGTTCGTTGTAACATGAAGAAAAACAGAATGAGTAGAGCTATCAAGCACAGTGTAACCAACTTGATGATCCATCTTGAAACCATGAGGGAACTTGGCATCGGCAAAGTTGACCGCATCAAAACTTGCATCGACTTTCAAAGTTTGGTGCTCATTATCTTTTGTTGCAACAACAATGAACTCGGACATTGTAGCGAAATCAACTACGTTGGTGAAATGCACTTTAGCCGGCTCACTAAAGAAGTCCGTACTCGAGACAAGTTGCCACGGATTGTTAGCGTCGTTGTTTTCACGTTCTTTGACTTCGCAATAAATCAATTTATCATCACGTTGTTGGTTTGCGGCTTCTTTGATGAACTCGCACTTTCGGACATATCGCTGGAGCGTTTTCCAGGTGCTATCTCCTCGGTCTTGGGTGAGTGAAGCTACGGTGTGACAGTTACCAGGACCATCGCACTTCTCACCCATCCATATAAACCAGTCCTTGTTTCTAGGGTGGAAGTTCATTGCGAGAGCTTCACGACTTGGTGGATGGGGAGCTTTGAAGCTTCTGATATTCTCCCCACGATCGACAGAGTAAAATACAGTTTCGGTCTTTGTCAAGAAGAATACAACATCATTAAAGTACTGATTGGCGTAAATTCGAACGATTTTCTCATCTTTCAAGATTTGCTTCCACGTTTTTCCATGATCGTGAGTGAGCCAGACTGTTTCCTGGTCGGTTTGTAATACGATTGTTTCGTCCACTTGGGTGCTAACGCCAGTTCTCTCAAGGTATTGTTTATCCAGGAATGCTTGGCCCTTGAATTTGAAATCAGTCGAGTTTCCTTTACCCGAAGCAGGAGGCGCTGCGGAAGTCGAGCATTTGTGTTCGACTAAATCGTCCTTCTGCTTGCCACTGTCTCGCTTACAAGTATTTCCTGGAATTAGACGCCACCCGGAAGATCCTTTAAATGTGTCATCGGGACCAAATGCTTTGCATTGACCTTCCGGAACGATCAAAGCACCTTTTTGTATGCATTCCTTAAGATCATCACTTCTGATAAAGTTATAATCGCACTCGAAATCGGCGTCTGTACAAGCGCAATCGTCTGTTTGAACAACTGGGTCTTTGAATTCTTGTTTCATGAAGCAATCTGCGTCGGCTTTGCGGCGCATATAATATTGGGTGTGGCCCATAAGACAAGCTGGTTTACCGTCATCATCCAGCCTTGCGTACCACTTTTCCAAATCATCATCCTTTTTGCATTGTCTTTCATGCATTTCGTCAAAGTTAAGTGCAATCATGTAGAAAGTCTGCTTCTTGTCCGACTCATCCACCCCAATCATAAGGAATTTAAGACTTGTTGAATCGGAGGTTGTGACCAATTGTAGCGGGCGGATTTTACCCTTGAGTTCGAGTTCCTTCCAATCTTTGCCGTGGTTAAGTGAGTACTTAACCACCTTTGTATTACCATCATGTACAGCCACAAGAACAGATCCCTGATCTCCAAATTCGTACTTGTGTGGTCCGTCGAGGGCATGATGCCAAGTAACTCCCGCATCATCAGATACATAAAGGTTAGATTTATCCCATTCCCCCAAGTAGTCTCCCGTATTACCATTTCCCATTACCAAACCTGGAGCCGGACTAGAGAAGACCCGACCAGAATTGTCCAACTCTGTGACGGAATGGAGGTGAAGATCTTTGTCTTTGACCTTGAGAGGTTGCCAAGTTCGTCCATCATCAAAACTGATTTTGGACTTCTTCTTCTTCACTTCCATGAAACTTTTCTCGACCTTTTCAAAGTTATCAACCACGTTAACCATCACAATTCCCTGCACTCCCGCCATCTTCTCGAAATCAACCAAACCACCCATATCTCGATTTGTGTGCTCGATGTTCCGAGTGAAATACGTTCCGTTCGAATTACTGGTGAACATGACCCCCATAGCATTGAGTGGGCGCGTGTTCAAAACGTCGATTTGAATACTGTAATTAGTTCCTTCCAAGATGGTATATGCCTCCTGGGTCAATTTATGGTCGTGTGGAAATTCGGCTCGGTGCCATTTAATGGCATCATCAGACACATATAATGCCATCTCGTCAGTGCGGTCAGCACCCGCGGCTGTGATCAAGAACTTCTTCTGGGGTGCGATTTCAACAATTCCCTTGACCGTTCGACCTGGCTCCAGTTCGGGCTCAAATTCTTGTATATCCTCACCGTCTGAAGCAAAGAAATCGTCAGAGACAACGAGCCGGTAGTCTGACCTCCATACAGAATATCTGCCTTTAGCCACACAGAGAATCCTGTCTTTGTCAAGGTCCTTCTGGCCAGTTGTAAACTCCGGTGACGAGACTGCCCAGCGGCAGCCCACAGTATCGGAACGTAGGAACTTGGTAGTTTCGTCAAATCCGTTAGTAGTGTACATAGACTGTTGTGAGAATAGTTAGCATTTGAATCGCCCAGCAGGAACTATCACTCCTCTTACCAACTCTTCGCAGAAAATGCCCGTGCAATCCATTGCATTGAAGATAATCCTATTTGGATCTTTTGCATGATAACTCAGCGCCGGTCTGAATACACTAGCTTGATTGTCCGTATAGAATTCCTCCCAGTGCTCTCCTCTATCATTGGTTGCCCAATGACTCTTCCCCGACGTTATGATATATGCCCTTTTCGAATCGAATGGATGCATCGAAATCTCCAACATTTTGCCTTCAGGAACGGCGGTGATTTTCTTCCACGTCTCTCCTGCATCCACTGATCTGTAAACAACCGCATCGTCTCTATCCTCATACAGCAACACATCGGAATCATCGAAGTACTGCAGATTGTGTGGGATATTTTTTAATTTGGCATAGCTAACTCCAGGCGCATCTTTCTTTGCCCACGCGCTAGTATAGAGAAGTGTTGATATTAGGAGGCACCGCCATCCTGTCTCCGAGCTCCGTAGCCTCATCTTCGCGGGTTGGTTGTGATACCGCAGCGCATGAAGCTTCGATAAGGATCACCAAGTGGCGACTCGACGATGGTAGTGATAGTTTAGATGTTGTTACTTTTGGCAGAATCGATAATGGAAAGGGTTTGAAGAAGCAAAGATTGTAAATGGATTGCGTGTCTTTTGGAAACAATGATGATGATAGTGAGCCTAGCCCGGTAGGTAGGTACAGCTACTCGTTTCAGGGCACTTTTGCGCCACACCTGTGCCTCACAACTCGGACCTATCAATGATAACCTTGAGCAAGCAAGAGCACTCAGATCCCACGCCAAACCCAGCAGCACTTTCCGCGCTTGAATGTTGGATTGACTCGATTGGTTATTGGTTGGGGGTTAAAATCTATTTCTGGTATGATGAATTAATTTCTGTGGAGATGGAGATGGAGAAGGAGCAGGAGGAGCAGAGGGAGAACAGAGAACAGAGACAGGACGGAGAACATTCATTGATTCTTCAACTCAAATTTGTATGTTGATAACCTTGGAAATCCTCTCAACACTTATTATTCACAGTATCAATAGCAGGCAACTCTCTTATATTCACTTCATTATCTGGCGTCGACCATCACTACGGAATAGGAATGGAATGATGACGGTTGCCGTGAACGTCTACGATATAGGAAGGAATGTTCTTTGTCAAGCACAAAATTGACCAACCATCAGTCACATCACAGCAGCGGCTAATACTAATGATTCCTTCTTTGCCTCTTTGCCTCCTTGCCGCTATGACGGTGTGATCGATGGTATTATAAATTGTTTACTTCCTCCCACAAGTCAAAGCACAATTCAATTTTCATCAGCGAATGGATCTTTGCTATGCCCATTTCGAACATTATGTCGACTTCAAACTTGATCGACAATCCAACTGATGGGCGAGGTAAAGAAGGCGAATTGCATGGCACATACACAAACATTCACATCATTCCAAACGATACAATCTTTCAATTCAAGACTTTTGTTCTCAATTATTGATTTAAAATCCCTAGTATCCATTCAATCGCTATGCAAAACCAGCCTGCCATGCACGCGAGCCTCCAACAAAAGAGAGGTAAATACAAAGCAAACGCTTCTTTAAAGATACAAGCTCGCCCGCTAAATAACTCCATCTGCAAAGATTCCCTTTTCTTCTGTTCTAGATACCATATCACGAAGTCTTTCGCTGACTCTTCACCCTCTTCCAAAACCTCTTTACCACCCCATTTTCCTTCTCGACCGGTGGCCCCCAACCATCCGCTCCACCCATAGGTCCCCGCGGATACCTATGATTCTCTAGATCCTCCATTACAAGCGGCTCCTTCGATTGCCATCCATATATTGCGCTCTCATCTCTCAGATCCTGCCGTGTAAGCGTCATTCTTAACGTAGGTTCTCGATTTCCTGCCATAACTTGTGTATAAGGGTCTTGTTGTTTGCTAGGTAGTTTATTGGGCCCAGATTGAAAATCCGCAAGAGGCTTGCCAGTATAATAAAATGGAGATCGCTGTAGTGGATATCCGCTTTCATATTCCAGGGGTGTTATGGGTGCTTCAGAATCAGCCATCGATTTGTCGTCTTCGAATAGTGAAGCAGTATCGTCATTAAAGAATGAATGTTCAAATGCTGGACTCGATGCCTTCCGCCTCAACATATCTCTCGACGAACGTTTCGATATTAATCTTGAGGGTTTATTTTCCTTCTCTGATGCACCCATCGCTGCATCCATGGATGGAAATCCAAACTCGATTATCTCATCGAATTTTTGCGGTGACGCTAAGTATACTCTTAGCTTTAGTCGTGCTTCCGGGTCTTGGTAATAGGTGGCATTAGGGTCTATCGACGAGAGCGATGAATTAACTTTGTGTTTTGCGGCATGCCTTGGTCCTGTTATTGATGTAGCCGAGCGGGAATGTGTGCTGAAGGCAGGTGATGTGGGATTCGGAGATTTGGGTGTGATAGAAGATATCGAGCTTCGCCCGAAAGGAAGCTTTGAAATCGACATTTGTCGTCGAAATGATGGCTTCCGGTCGCTTTTTAGAGAAGGAAATATTGAAGCATGATAATCATCCAAATGAAGATCTAACTTAGACTCATCGTCGATCCATTGGAAACTGTCAAGAAACGTATCGGCCATACTAGACATCGAGGCTCTCCTTCGAGTCCCGCTAGTTTTTCCACTGAAAACAGAACCTCTAACGCTTGGAGATAATACCGGTGGATCTGACGCCATGCGACGAGATCGTCTTCGTATTATGAGATTTTCGTCCGCCGCATCCAATATAACTGCTTCACGTATCCTGCTTGCTAATAATGCTTGTTCTTCGCTCGAGAATTGTTTTCTTTTGATTGTCTCCGGAAATGTTTCGTAATTGCTTAAAAACCAAGATCTATCATTACTATTGGATATTGAATGTTCCTTCTTCTTTTTTAATCGTCTCGAAGGTCTGCGTCGGGGCTCGAGCTCTGAAATCTTCAAGCCACGTCGGTCGGCAATAGAAGTTCTACGGGTATTCTGTGTGGGAAGATCATTGAGGGCATTTGACCTCGAGCTTTGTGCGAATCGAAGACGCTCCAGAGTTGAGAAATACTGCGAAAGGGCCCGGTTAGCACCCATCTTTTAACAATAATACCGTCGACAACCGCATGAGAAGAATTGCAAAACCACCGTCTCTTGTACCTGCATATAAATGTGTTCATAGCGTTTGCTGATCCCGCCGCCAGTATGAATGGAAGGATCTAGCGTAGATTCACGCGGGAAGACACCACTAAATGTACTAATGAGAGACCTAACTTTCGACGGCGTCTCGTTGGCACGGGCTAAACTACATCTCTTTACTTTTTTCAATAGCTCAACCCTGAAATACGAAATGAAACCCCCAACCTTGTTTTTTAAATTGTGATGACCGTGGTAAAGTATAACAGCGAAAGTGATATATATACCTTTCGTTTTAGAGCAGGTGGAAGAGCATGAAACTCTTCATGAGTTGTAAAGTATTCCCCGCACAATGCCATTTCCTTGTGATTCCTGCGATATAGACTTGACGATGGAAGAGCCGGCGAAGATTCGGGACGAATATCGAAAGACGGTTTCGAAAGAGCAGTCGGTGAGAAGATATTCGAAGTCGAATTGTGTGATGGAGCTGGGAGAGAGTAGATGGGAGTGATGTTCAAGTTTCGTTCCTTCATATTGGACGCCATGACTGAATATCAAGTCCAGAAGGATTCAGAAGATGGTAAGACTGGAGTGGCTCTTTCAGATTTGTTGTCTCCAACTAATGCATCATGCAACACGATCCGAACGAATCTCCTTACGACGGGACTCCAGATATAAAGGCTATTGGGTTCTTGCCGCGTATGGTGTGTGCAACCCCGGACCTGAATCGACCAGGTAGCTCAAAAGTTTGGTACGGTATGGGTATGGTTCTATGGATCTTATGGATCGATATGGGCATAGAAAAGTAAGGTAACTTGATTTCGTTATGACTTACTTGGCATATGAGATGACGAACAGACGAACAGTCGAATCGAACAAATTATATTGCACAATTAAGAGCAATTCGAAAGACTGGAGAAAGCGGTTCAGAGAACATGTGGAGAGAAAGCAGAAGGATTGGAAAGACCCAAGAGGTTCATCTGATGATTCTGATCAATGATATTGAGACCCGTTGCTTTCGCTGATCACAGTAACCGCCGGCCCTGGGTCCCTCTCTTTCGCTGTCTCTCTTTGTCCATTTTTCCTCCATTGAGGTAAGGTACGGTTGTTAACCCATTATGTATTTTTTAATCGTCATGAATCAAAATTATCAATATTGATTCTTGATTTGCCTAGAGATCTCCACGTCCATTCTGGAAGCACAAGGGGTTTGATTCAAGGGTCTTGATATTCCTAGTATGCAGGCACGAGCTCTCACCAATGAATCGACCTTGTTTGCGATATCCATGGAAGATCCTTACTTGATCCAGTGCACAAAAGACCACAAGAAGAGGATTCTAAGAGACATAGACCAGGTCTTGATCATAGCAATATAGCAAACAAATGGCTGCTCACCGGATTCGCAAAGAACCACCATACATACAGGCATTTATATTGTTGCTCGAGAAAGGGAAAATCCTTGGCGAATTCTTTGGATATTCCATTTTTTAGTTGTTCATGCTCAAATCCGAAATAGTTGTTTCTCCTTGTACTTCGTATGTATGTCTTTCGTCTCCTCTCTTTTTTTCCAATGTTAGACAAGACATATTGTACGTATATAGAGTACATATTGTGCACAGCATATTGCTCTCACGGATAACGGACATAAACCCGTTATACAACAGTTATTCTGTAACATTGAATACTTGTGATATGATTGCAATTTGTACATATGTACGTATATGCAAACACGCCATTTATTCAGGCCATGCTCATGAAGGTGGCCCAACTCTGTACTGACCCAACTGTACCTGCCGCGCCGCACCCAACTTGTAATGCACCTTTATTTATGTGACACAGCAAACACACGCCGTCAACGCAATGTCAGCCTCGTGGGTTGTGATCCCAAAGCAATCGAGAGGCGTGCTGCAGCAAGGATAGGCCGGTTGGGCGAATATAAAAATTTCCCCTCTGTCGAAGCTGAAAATAAATCTCCCCTTGCATTCGATTGAGTTCGTGGAAATTGTGGAAAGTATCCAGAATCGCGCAAGCAGGCAATTATCATCCGATCTGTCGAAAATAGACTCGTACGCTGTAAATAGAATGTTTCACGTAAGGTCATGTACAAATAGGATTGTCCTTGCTGTCGGTGTGGAATCGTTGATGTACAGGAGAGGGGCGTTGTGTGGAATGATCCAGCCTCCAGCGGCGAGGAGAGGAGCGGTCAGATCCTTCCGCCCGCTTGCTTCCCCACGGCTAGCGATAGAGACTCTGATAATTGAATATAAAACGCGGAAACTTCACGAAATCAAGTGACTATGGCCTCAGTGTCAAGCGGGATTCCTTGCTGAAATTGGGGCGTCCAAACGTCAAAAAGAAATATGGGCGTTTTAAATTTCCGAATGACATTGGTAAAAAGATTTCCGAAGCGAAAGAAGAAAAGAGCAGCATACAACGACTCCGAACGAGCGTAGCTAAACTTCATAGATTGTGCAGAACGTCCATACTCAGTATAACTCAAAGAGCGATTCCTCGGATTACCAGGTCCATCCCCTCATCGAAAATCTTATTCCATACCCTAAGATATCTGACCAAGGTCATCACCGCCAATTTACAAGTCCACGAATATCTACCCCTTCATTTCGCTCGCTTTACTCGATCCAGCCGAACCTTCTTCTCTCACTCCAAACCTTCCTAAAAATATTCTGATCTTTGTCTTTGTGTCACTTTATCCCAGCACCGCTCCTCGAATTAGCCGTGACAACCGTATCATCTCCTTTCTTGAAATTATACTGTGCACTATCGTGGCTGTACAATGTACAGTACTCACTATACACGAAGTGAGTGCATCATGATCGATCGTCGGTACAGCAAAACCTCTCCATAAGGATACCGGTTTTTGTAGACTTTTTTAAGGATATATAGAGGTATCCTTGTATAGAGGTATCCGACTAATCCCGACCCGGTAGTAATTGATTTCCGATTAGTCCCGATCGGGCCATTTCCGTGACATTTTTTAGAGTTTCAATTGAATCTCTTAAAAACCTCAGTATATTTATCATGTGATAGCTAATCCTGATGATTCTACTGGTTCAATAAGGATATTCACGTGATTTTGGGACCGAGAAATATAAGGATATCCTAATAGAGAGGTTTTAAGGATATAGGCCTTTTTTAGCCCTGAAAATTTTTGGGACCAAAAAAATTTAAGGATAATAGAGGTTATCCTTATAGGGGGGATCCTTATGGAGAGGTTTTGCTGTATATTGTAATCTCAGACAACAATGTTTTCAAAGTTCAAACGCGTACCATGGAATGAATTTTGGAACGTGAGATTCGTAGAAAACAAATATAAACAAACAAACAAAATAAGGTGCTCGAGCCCCTCCTCGGTCATCGCCGTCACTGGTTCCATAACTTCCTTCCATTGCCAGATGTTCTATCTCGTGTTTTAGTTCCAAGTTCCAAGCCCTCTATCTTTCCAAATTCCACAAACTCAACATTTAAACTCTTAGTTCTGACTGTTCCAACTGTTAGACATAAATTACCATGCAAAGTCAAAAATCCGCTCAAAATCTTGGTACTGTACAGACACGTCGCGAAGGATTCTCTCGGATTCCTTCCCGTGAAATTTCGAACTACGCTGTGCTAGCTAGGTATCTGTAGTGCATCCAGTTCCTCGGTATATATTTTGTCTCGTGATTGATTGATTTGGTTCCTTGAACCTTCCCGTTGCTATATTGGCGAATGCCAATATCGATTTCCTGGGGCTTCCATCATGAGCGAAAGAGTGAATGGGCGGGAAAGGTATATTTAGTAAAATATAAAACATCAATGAAGGTTGCAACCAACAGTTGAATGGCGTGAAGTCGTCTTGAGATTGAGAGGTTGTACTGACTAAGTAGATATGAACGTTAATACTTTCAGTCAAAGAACCGAAGAACTTCGCCCATTCCAAGCATTCAATCCAGCGTATTCGTCGTATAACAAACAAGGAACTCCCTCCAAAATAATCCATATATCCATCTGACATCTTGGCAATGCTTAACCAAAGCCTATCAACGTAACCACATCCAAACCTCCAGATGTGCTTTCCTTTCCTCCGCTATCGAGACCCCTAACACACACACACACACACACACACACACACACAAAACTTTATACATACATCATCGAGCAAAACGACTGTACACATGATGCCCTGCAAAGCTGTGAAGCCGCAAATCATGCACCGTAAATCAATATGTACGTGCCGAAACCTTATCACTGCAGTCATACATAACGATATCAGTTGCGTCTCGCCGATGAAACCCTCCATATCCTCCTCAAAATTGTGATTGCAACCCTATCTTACAATCTTCCGTAGCGATTTTGTATCATTCACCACGCACGCCAGAAATCTCATACTACGGCATTTGAGGCTAGTAGTAATGAATGTGTAGCAAATAACTCTCTTGTATATATGTAAAAATTGGTCCGAAGTTGCTGCCCAAGGTGGCTTCAGCAGGACGGAAAACTGGACAAGTTACTCTTTTCAATATTCGATACCAACTCGGATAATTATTGTTCTGATACAAAGATTGAACATATATATCGATAAGCTATTATACAATATACTGTTTGAATCATTTAGATCTCAAAGTAAAGAGAGAGATAGTATGGAAAAACAAACTGCAAGATAAGTGTTCTCAACGTATGGATCCATTTGGGTAATTGAGTGTACGGCTTTTTTCGTCCATTTGGAGGGTGGATACCGTAAGCGCGCATATTGAATTTCAAGTTGCTCTCAACCATTCAAATCACATCTATAAAATTCCATAACTTCAATGCTGTTGGCACTAACCCACCAATAACCCCTCTCCAGAAAAGATAAAGCGTCATGCTCGGCATCATATGTTAATCACATCTCCTCCGCCAAATGCAATGATACGGAATCGGACACATCTCAGACGTCTTAAGCCACTTATTCCTACTAAATTCTCATTCTCCAAGATATATTCCGTACAATATTGTGGATTTCAACATTTTATCCAACCCGAAGTAGTTATCCCGCAGACTGCGGCTCGCGAAATAATAAATGTTATTCCGTCTACTATTCTCGTCTGAGATATTGGGGTCCCCAAATATTGATAAGAACGGCACGCGAGACGAGAATGAGAATGCGAAACGGCTATCCTCATAACGTAATCTTACATCGAGTCGACGTGCCTAGATCCCGATGGATGGGTCATCGGATCTTCATAAGTGCAGTCTGAGACTTAACATTTTGAGCCTCGATGGAGGGAGGTAAGCAGAAAAGCGAATAAGGGCGCAAGAGGCGCCAAGAAATTTTTAATTCTTTTGAAAGATGTATTGTGTCATTCGTCTGATCTGGCATTGAGATCTAGCGATTACGAATATCGATTATAGGGTAAACGAGGTTGGCGAAACTTGGCATGTATGTGTGGTGTATAGTGTACGGCTGGCACGGCCGGCTAAATGCGCAGCCAGTACATCGGAGGAGACTCCAGATTCGACATTCGATGATGCTGCCGCTTCAAGTTTACGCTGGCAGGTAGGCTCGGATCTTACTGCGTAGTACAAGATAGCTTCATGATCACCGTAAGATATTGGAAGAAATAATAACTTTTGATTCTCATTCAAACGAGTAGGTAAGGCAACTAATGACCGGATATTTACGTCCCCTCTCGTCAATTCCTCTCAAGCAAAGGTCTCCACCCATATGAACCATTAAAGATAGAGTCAGGAAAAATCACAAAGTGACTCAGTATCAATTCTTTGCCCTATTCGAGCTGGTATCGCTGTATTTCCCTTCCTCCCTTCCAACCACTCTTATATCATTCACAACCATCCAACACCCCAGAAACCAAGCCTAATTAATTACTCAGAATTCGTGCACAAGCAAAAACGAATCAAATCCGCATTCAAAAAAGAAGCATGTACTGTGAAGTTGCCATATGTCCCAAAAGTGCCAAACGTGCCACCGAATAACAAACATAACAGAGAACAACAACAAAAATAGAGCCAGTATCTATATTCGCGCGCTCATATAAAACCAAATCAGGATAATAACCAGATACAGAAAATTTTAGACTGTAAAGCATGCGTTCGCGAAGAGTTCGAAAACTTGGTATATGTACCAAGTACCAACGAGCGAAATGATAACTCCGTGGGTGCCACCAAAGTAAATAACTATCTATCTACCAGCCATCACCTTACTTGATGAGATTGTTTTATTCTCTAGGAGGACGAGGTTGATTTTGGGAGAGAATGTAATGGATCCCAGTATTCGTAGACTCTGTTTTCTTTGTTTTTACCGGTGACTGCGGGTGCAGTGAAGGTTGAGCGCCCAGTAATGGGATCGTAGGTATCGTATGATGCGGCAAGACGTTTACCGCCACCACCAGGAAGATCAACGACGAAGTTGGGTGTTACGAAACCACCAATAGAACCGCGGATATGACGTTCGAGTTGAAGAATTGTGGAGAGTGGTGTCCGGAGATCTTCCACGTATTGCACCATGTCAGCTTGATAGACATAGTACTAGGTAATGTTAGCATGTACCCCGGCTTGGAAAAGATGAGCTAGGTAAGATATACATACGGGAATGACGTTGTTGTCGGCCACAGTTTTAATGAGGCTACTCATGGTGGCCACATCATCGTTGACACCCTTGAGTAGGACAGTTTGGTTTCTCACGGTAACATTGTTCTCGTGTAATTTTTGGAGTGCCATTTTTGAAACCCAGGTCATCTCCTTGGGATGATTGAAATGTGTATGAATAGCCATACTCTTTCCGGCCTTCTTAGCCAATGCTGAGAGTCTAATCATCTCAGCTGCCCATCCATCGCTATCGTCAAGGATCCGCGCAGGAGAAACAGCAAGACCTTTCGTGGCAAATCTAAATCGTTTGATATGAGGAATAGAAATAAGTCGTTCGCCGATTAGACGAAGATTATCAGCGGTTAAGATATAGCAGTCTCCGCCAGAAACAACTATATCTTGGAGTTGAGGGGTGTCTTCAATGTAAGTGAAAATGTCTTCCCAACGTTTTCGTTGAGGCTTAAATGTGGTTTTCTTAACGTTTTGCATATCAGGCCCGATAGACCATGAACGAGTACAAAAACGACAGTATAGAGGACAGGTTGATGTTGCTAGGAAAAAGTTAGTGTCATAATAAATACCATAAAACTAAAGAAGACTTGCCTAAGAATAAAGCTTTATCATAGTACCTATGAACGAAGCCTTCCACCGGAGAGTCATCAGACTCATGCAATGAGTCCAACTCAACTTTGGGATGATCTTCAAGCTTACTTGACTTCATAGGTATAAACTGGCGACGAATGGGATCTTCAAACGGATTTTCCCAGTCGATGATACTGAGAACATGAGGTGGTAAGCGAATCGACATAGGTGCCAACTTGATCCCTTCCTTGACGTCCTCGATGAAGTCCTCGCGAGTGACAATTCCGGGAAAATCGGGGTGTCTTCGAAGGACTGGGGGCAAAACTTCCAACATAAAAACTTCTAACTGCATTATAGTGGATATGGTATGGATTGTCTGCAGAAATATATCAGTATTGGCAACCCCTACATAGCCATAGGGCTGAGGTACTTACATGAAACTTGTATTTTAAGAATTGGGCTTCTGTGACATTTGCCCAGCGAGGAATCTTTTGCCAGTACGCGGCCCTGTCAGTAAGGGAAGCATCATAGACTGGTAATCCAGGTACTTTTGCTGTATTTGGAGGCTCGTATGGTGCTGGGACAGGTCCATCATGGAACATAGGAAGGTCGGTTACTGCTGCTCGACCTGACGCATTTGATCGAAATTGCCTTGTTGAGATAAGAGGTACTTTAGGCTTCAAAGATAAGTTTCGTGCAGCGACGTGAAAGCATTTCCGAGGTACTGCATCACTCTTCACCCCTGCTGATCTTGTGAAAATAAAGGGGCAGCTTTTCGCCGCTGGGGCAAATTTTGTCCGTGATATTCCTCCAAGCATTTTGAAATGTGACTTCCAAGTCAGAAAAGTGCTTGTGAAAGTTAATTGAGTTCTGTAATTGATCAGTAATTGCGAGGATAGACTTGAAAGTGGTGGTTTTTATAGAGAACAGTCAAGGCAACTGAAGGAATCTGTTGGGGGTGCTTCACACGGAGGCAAACATCCACCAAGGTTGTACTGCGTATGAAAGTTGATGAATACTCACAAGCTCGTATTTTTCTAATTCGAGACAATACTGTTATCTCGATGTAAAAGATAATCCACGCACACAAAGGTGAATCAAAATTATGGACTGATTGCAAGGTCAGGTGACGAGGCGAAATGTTGGAAGCAAGCAATTATATTAAATGCAGGTCTCTCTCCCCAAAAGCTGTGCTGCTATGCTGTACTCGAAAATATAACTACCCAAGGGGGGTATTTATGCTCGGAGCCTCGAACGACCAGCTGACCCAATTGAACAGGAAGATTGGCTCTAAAGAGGAGCACGTTGGACAGTTTATGAGTATGTGACGTGAGACGCCCTTGATTGGTGAAATACCCAGGAGAATAGGAAAGTTTCTGGAGTTCAGGACCCACTACAGTGTTGCCTATCGAACTGTGCATGCGTTTATTCGTAAGTGCGTAGATGTGACTGATGCAAGAGATGTCGTTGGTCGTACAGTCTAGCAGACTCTTCGAGGTCAGTCGATATGAAATTCGTGCCTCGACTTTCCAATATGTGCAAAGATATCTTCCCAGCAGTTTGGGCCTCCGGCCGGGGAAGTTGTGATGCGTGCGGAGGTAAAGCCGGCTGCAGTGAGTTATGTTGTCTGTTGGATAATTAGGACGACCTTATTGGACAAATCGATATTGGCGATTCTAGAAAAAAAGGTGAGTGTTGAATGCAATGCTGTACAACCTTTGCAAGCGCGAATCATGCCCTGGTAGCAAATGAGGAGCGTCCCGACACCTGCAACTGCATAAAAACACGCAAACAAGGGCGATCATTGACAACTTCCATCAGAACAAGATTTCCAAGAGGATATTGCTCAACTTTAATACCAACATTTGCACTAAACAATATTACCGCCTACCAAAGCCACCACACTGTTGCTTTCTCCCACCTCGTAATAAGATGAACATGGTTATTGCAATTCTAGCCTTCGGAAATATAATTGCGTTCAATTACATGGTAGTAACCAACAGAAGGAACAAGCTTCCACCCTCAATTGGGAACAGCGGAGGAAGGATCAGCTTCAAGCCTCCAATTTTTACCGATTACTTTATGTGGATGAGGCGGCATGGCGACGAGGTACTGCACCTGTTTCGACAAGATAGCTGCATGTGCTACTGCATTGGGTAGTCTCTCATTTCACTAAAATGATAGAATTTCAAAGGCGTCAGCACTTAAATTTTCGACGTTGAAGGACTTCTAAACGTTTATCGGCGATATTGAAAGATCCGCCACTTTTCAACAGCACACTTACGATAATTTTGGATGGGTCATGGTATTCGCATGATACTTCGCATAATGCTTGTACTTAAAGCAAGCCCCGAGTAGTACAGAAAAAAAATCTCAATAGGGAGTATAAATTAAGAATATTAAAATACGGTATATGCATGGAAAGGATTCATCTTATCTCATCATTTTTCTTGGATAATTGACGAGATACAGGTGCTTTGTGGAGTAGAACCAATGAAAAATAAAATCAACATTGTACCTGGCTTCAAATGGTAGAATAGAACATGCAAATCGCCCCCAATTAGGTAGTTCCGAAGTATTGACAACTTCTTTCGTGAATAAGCTCCAGTTTGAGGCTTGATGGACCATATTGTTGGAAAGCAGAAAAGAGTAAGGTAGGTAGATTTGAATGTCTCCATGGGTGCAATCTTCATCCGATTCTGCACCTTGGCAACAGCCACGGCCCGCTTGGTCCTCGTTTTGTGGAAGCTGTACGAAGCAGTTACATGTGCGATGACAGCAGCAATAGTGCAGAAAGCAGAAAGTAGTTTTCTACCCTTGCTATCTTGCTACCTATCAGACGTTCATCAGATGACCCCAGATGATCCCTCCGAGGCCAGGGGATCTAAAAGTTTCATGAATTCATGAAAAAGTGTGATATTTTCAAGAATTAATTGAAGAAAGAGTTTAATAAATGTTAGTATTCGGGTCCGTCTGAGAATGTTTCAAAGTATGATGTACGTACGAAAGAATCAAGGGGGGATTTTGATATACAGTCGTACCAAAAAAGGAGAGGTTCTTGATATCTGTAGTAGCATGATGAACGTATATGTATATGTGGGTAAGTAGGTATGAAGGAAGAGTCTGAAAAGAGATGAAGTCCCGGGACATACGAGGAGTATACTACTTGTGTTGTGGGTACTCTGATACTTGGGTTGAGGGATACTTTTTGCTACTTGGGTACTTGAGTACTTGGGGTAGCTGGAGGTCACCACCACTCTTTTGAGCAGATGAGAGTTCGAACCCACTGCCCTCGACCCTATCCCATCCAGTCAGTATATGTGAAGACGTTGGTAGGTTGATTGGCTCGTTGGGTGGTTGATATCAATGTCAGCATTTCTTCTTACCAAAGCTCCATTACTCCATTATTATTCACCCACGCTCCCACGGTTTCTCCCGACACCGAAATAACACGGATGGTGGGCTGAATAGACAAATGCCACGTGATTTTTCGCGCTAGTTCAGTTTTCCTGATTGTTTGAGAGTACTCTGTCTAATCACCAATTTCCTCCAGCAAGGTCTTGATACCACCCACTCTACCTCCACCATTTTAAATCTCCTCTCCATCAGTTGCACATCTGCAGCAATTGATTCTCCTTAATACCCTTTGACATATAGACGCTGGTCAAGATGTTCAGAAACGCTCTTAAGCAGTCCAGCAGGACGGTGGGCGCAATTTCTGCTTCCGGTAGAATTGCCACGGTACGTCAACAAAACAAAATTTCTCACGTCACTATGTCACTATCATACTTCGCCGCTATCAATATCTATCTACTTAGATATTGTCCATAGTGTCAATTGACATTGCGATGCCATGGTGTTGAGGCTTTTGAGCTTCTAGCAAGCTTTGCCAGCTTTGTTGACGAGGATTTTTCGGACTTCGGCTAACGTAAACGTTTTTTGCACCACAGCGAACTGCTGTTCCAGCAACTTTCAACGCAGCATCAAGATCAGTTCGAAGCTACGCATCTGATGCTAAGGCATCCCCCACCGAAGTCTCTTCTATTCTTGAGCAAAGAATTAGAGGTGTTCAAGAGGAGTCCGGTCTCGCCGAGACTGGACGTGTTTTGTCCGTTGGGTAGGTTCCCCCAACAATATTCTTATACTCGGGTCCAAAACGCTGCAGTCATATTACGTCGATATGGATATTCGGGATTATGGATTATTTGGGCGCAGTGCTGATTTGTGTTATGACAGTGATGGTATCGCTCGTGTACATGGTATGAGCAATGTCCAAGCCGAGGAACTTGTCGAGTAAGTTTATGAAATTCGACAATCATTATCTGGGGTACTGATGGAAAAAAAGGTTCGCATCCGGTGTCAAGGGCATGTGCATGAACTTGGAAGCTGGCCAAGTCGGTGTTGTGCTTTTCGGTTCTGATCGTTTGGTCAAGGAGGGCGAGACCGTCAAGCGTACCGGAGAGATTGTCGATGTTCCCGTCGGAATGGAGATGCTCGGCCGTGTCATTGATGCTCTCGGAAACCCAATCGATGGCAAGGGACCTATCAAGACTACTGAGAAGCGCCGTGCGCAACTCAAGGCTCCTGGTATTCTCCCACGTCAATCCGTCAACCAGCCAGTCCAAACCGGTCTTAAGTCCGTCGACGCAATGGTACCCATTGGACGTGGTCAACGTGAGTTGATCATTGGTGATCGTCAAACCGGAAAGACTGCTGTTGCTCTCGATGCCATGCTTAACCAAAAGCGTTGGAACGATGGAAACGATGAGACTAAGAAGCTCTACTGTGTCTATGTCGCCGTCGGTCAAAAGAGATCCACTGTTGCCCAATTGGTCAAGACCCTCGAGGAGAACGACGCCATGAAGTACTCCATTGTTGTTGCAGCTACTGCTTCTGAGGCTGCTCCTCTTCAATACATCGCTCCTTTCACTGGTACATCGATTGGTGAATACTTCAGAGATAATGGCAAGCATGCTCTCATCATTTTCGACGATCTTTCCAAGCAAGCTGTTGCATATCGTCAGATGTCTCTTCTTCTTCGAAGACCTCCAGGACGTGAAGCCTACCCAGGTGATGTATTTTATTTACAGCAAGGCTTCCTTTCCCGTCGTTAACAAAAAATTCAAAAAAATCTAACATTTTCGATAGTTCCCGTCTCCTCGAGCGTGCCGCTAAGATGAACGACAAACTTGGTGGTGGATCCTTGACTGCTCTACCCATCATTGAAACTCAAGGTGGTGATGTATCAGCTTATATCCCAACTAACGTTATTTCTATCACTGATGGACAAATTTTCTTGGAGGCCGAACTTTTCTACAAGGGTATTCGTCCAGCCATCAACGTCGGTCTTTCTGTGTCCCGTGTCGGATCAGCTGCCCAACTTAAGGCAATGAAGCAAGTCGCTGGTTCCTTGAAGCTTTTCTTGGCTCAATACCGTGAAGTTGCTGCATTCGCACAATTCGGTTCCGATTTGGATGCTGCTACCAAGCAAACTCTTAACCGTGGTGAAAGAGTAAGTTTTCCATTCGCATTCGCATTCCAAACCACATCCCCATACTTGCCATTGTTTGACTTATTATCATACATTGGTCTGCTCACAATTGTTCAACTTGTTGTCGTACATTGATCTGCTCATGATTGTTCGACTAATTGTCGTACTTTGGTTCGCTTATCATTGTTTGACTCATTTTCAAACATTGGTTTGCCTATGATTGTTTAATTCATTTTCGAACATTGATTTACTTATCATTGTTCGATTTATTTTCGAACTTTGATTTACTTATTGTTTGACTTGTTTTCGTATATTGATTCACTTATC